CATCAGGATTTAATGCTATTAACTGATTGTTTACATCAATCATCAATGGCCAATGATCAGGTTCATTTCGACAATGTACTATACATTTATCATTAAGTTCAACAACAAGACTATCTTGAACTGCCTACATATAACAAAAAACAATACAATTTTTTTTTTATATAAAGAAAATTTTCAAACTAACGTTAGCAATTAATGAAAGTGGTACATAACTATCTTTAGTCATTTGTTGACAAAGAAATATATCTACTTGAAAATTTTCTGGATTAAAATAATATTCGCTAAAGAAAAACAAATAAAAGATGATAAAAAATTTTTTTCTTGAAAAAAAAATCCACTTACATTTGACGTCGAAGAAGCTCTTTTAATTGTTGTTCAGTATAAGCAGGTACAATTGAAGTTACATACTCACCAATATTAGTAAAAGATATATCTATATCTGTTGGTGGAGTTGTAGGTTCATAATAATAATCACTTTCAATATATGGTAATACAAATGAACATCATGTATTGTATTATTAATACCTGCGATAACACAAAAATAAATATCTATATGATAAGAAAGTAATGGTAAAATTCTATTTCTTTATAGAATCTTTTATTTCTTGCAGTGGAATAGACTTAGACGATAGTGGTGTAATCAAGAGGACGCACACATTCAATCGATGACAGAGAGGCTGCTTGACTCCTCCTTAATTATGCCTTTAATAAACAGTCAAGTGAAGCAAATTTTCGAGAACCATAGACATCAATAAGTAACTATTGAATAAACAATGTATAAAGTAAACGCTTTTTCAATGCCGTTATATCGTCTTCATGTGTTTTTCGTGTATTGCAAACTGTTTAAAGATCACATTCATAAAAGACATTCAAGAAAATGGGATAGAGCACCCAGTGGACAGAAAAGAAGAGCCAGGAGCAATAGCAAAACCCTGTAGTGTCTATCTGTCAGGTTGAGTTCCAGCTTAAAACTTCGCACAAATAATGTTTTCAATGCAACTTTTTTAGTTGTTTCTACCATGAGATACAGATATAAACATGAAATTTGCTTTGTCACACAGCAGAATTTCCAACATTCGTACCTCACAACGACTGAAACTTTCAAAAAAGAAACTAGTTCCATTACGAAAATTATTAGTGCAAAATTTCATTATTTGATTTTTTCGGCGAATAACTAAAGCTGAATCGAAAATTCAGTAAAACGATCATAAGTCGGCTTCAGAGGCTCATGAGGAAAGAATCCAATATGAGCTCAAATGACGCGTATCAGTTCGGGTAGTTTCCTCGTGAAGTGAACTAAAGAGTTTTGTTGAAAAATTTAGTCAACATCCGATTTCATAAGCATGGACACCTTGAAATCTAAAACATCCTAGACTATCTCATCGCTCACTAATACTTATCAAACTGAAATAGTCTCGAATTAAACCTGATTTAACACATGGAGAGGCTCCCTTGTGAGCTATCAATGTTTGCTGATGATAACTCCAAATTTGGAAACTATTAATGAGTTGTCTTTAGAGATAAACAATTGATGTAAAAACTTTAAAAATGCATGTGTTTGAGTTTATGTTATTTATTTCTTTGAAGCTTCACCAATCAGAAAGAGAAGTAATCATAGTAGGCGTCAATTACGATAGATCTATGTAGAAGATTACATTTAAGATAATATATGCTAATAAGGGTTCGAACCTACATCTTTACACATCTAACTAAGTTGCATAGTGGCATACTCTATTCGATATTAAATTAAAATTATAATAAAAGTCTAGAAAACATCTGAAGAACGAATTGTATTACTCACTAGCCGTCAGTTTTTTGTATATTATGGGTAACTTTTTAGCCCCGGTGGAGTAGAAGGTACTTCAAGAAGTCCTAAAGGCTTGCAATAGATAGCAAGCATGTAACGCGAAATAACTATATAACATCTAACGAATATAATTAGAACTTCAATTTTAAACATAAGTTTTACTTGTAGAACCTTATAAATGATATTTACCTAGTTATTTTACCTACTTTGTATTAGATGCTATAAGATGACTACTCGTTTGCAATCAGAATCCAAGATACAGTTAAATGCAGATCCATAAAAGCTTTAATGCCAGCTACAACTTAAGTTCAAACCTCAAAAAATGATTTTGTCTTTTGGCTGTTCACTATGGCGGAGGGGGTCCAGCCGCATACAGATGTTCTGAAGGAGGGTTCGACTAAAACCGAAATGGTAGGAGGCAAAAACCAAAAGGAATCGTTGGTTGGACATCTTTTAGACATGGTTTCTTACTTAATATATTTTTTAGTGAATGATTTACAATAAACTTTAAATAAATTATCCAATCGATAACTATATATTAATTTCGATGATATATAAAATATATTCATGCAATTGTTCCTCTTCCTTTTCATATCTTTATGTTCATAAGTGTCTGATTTCATTGTTTGTCTATCGAAGAGATATA